CATAAGCATTGTCATCATCGTTGTCATCATCAGCATCATTGTCATCATCATCATCATCATCAGCATCAGCGTCAACATCAGCATCAGCACCATCACCTCCATCATCACCATCACCACCGTCACTAGCATCATTAGCATCATCATAATCACCACCAGCATAGTCATCACCATCATTACCATGTTCAGAATCTTCGACATCAGCATCATAGTAACCACCATCATCACCACCATCATCACTGTCATCACCATAAGCATCACCCCAACCATTTTCATCATCATCAGCATCCGCATCGGTATGATAATCGCTATCACGATCATCACCATCATCGCCACCACTACCATCATCATCATCATCATCATCATCATCATCACCATCACCATCATCATCATCATCATCATCATCATGAACATCACCACCATCATCACCACCATCATCATCATCATCATCATCATCATTCGCGTCATTATCCGCATCACCATCATCATCACCATGATCACCATAACATCATCATTACCACCATCATCAGCATCATGAGGATCGTCACCATGACCATCATCAGCATCATCATCATTGTCATCGCTATCATCCTCATCCTTCTCCTCCCCTTCATTCCCATCATCATCATTATCATCATCATTGTCGCCATCAGCATCATCGTCGTCATCATGATCATCATTATCATGATCATCATCACCATCATCTTCATCATCATCATCATGATGATCATCATCATCATCATCATCACTGTCATCATCATCATCATCATCATCACTGTCATCATCATCATCATCATCATCATCACCACCACCACCATCATCATCATCATCGTCCTCATCATCATCATCATCATCATCATCATCATCTTCATCGCATACGCGCACTTCCGTAACCATTTTGGCTCAAGCTCGACACGGGCTGCTTGGCGTTTCGAGCTTGCGCGCAGCCAAGGGCATTGCTCGAGCTGCTTGCGGAGGCACACGGCCTCCACATTTGTCGTACGGCAGCTCGCACCTGCTGCCCTCCCTTATACACCATGTCTCACGAGGATGCGCCATCATCAATGGGAAAGTACACGGACAAATGATGAAACGCGTTTCTTCTGGCCTTCTTTGGGGTTCTCTTAGAGCGCTCTTGGGCCGTCTTGGGGCCATCTTGGGCGTCTTGGAGCGCTCTCGGGTCGTGAATCCGATTCGTGGGTCCTCGCGGAGCTGCCTCGAGGTTTTTTGATTCATTTTTGGGGCGATTTGGAGGGCCCCGAAACCGCCCCCGGGAGTTCCGCATCCTTGAGCGGACAACTGCCGAGAGTCGGCCAGGGTATTTTTCGTCCGGGGACCCCCACGGGCCGCTCCGCGCGCACGAATTGGAATAGACATGTACTTGGTGAAGCAGTCACCGGAGATCTTAGCACGCCTCTGGCCCGTTGGGCCGGCGAATTCGAGGAGGGGAGGGGGAAAAAAAGGTGGAGGAAGAGGAGGATGCTGCTCCCCTCCCTCTCCCCTGCCCTGCCTTTCGCCTTCCTCGTATAGGGGAACGAAGAATTCTAGGCCTCCTGGATAGGGTCTGAGTAGATGGGGTCGGAGGATCGCGCAGCATCGCCGATGCGTCGGCGACGAATCGGCGATGCGGCTCGATGTGGAGCCAGATGTTCTCCGCGCTGGCGTCGCCGATGCATCGCCGACGCCTCCGATGTATCGCCGATGCGTCGCCAAAGCATCGGCGATGCATTGGCGACGCGGCGCGATCCTTCGACCTCATCTACTCCGACCCCATCTAGGATGCTTCGAATAATGACATAGTGAAACATACAAACTCGGAGGTTTGCGCGGACCTCTCGCATCGGCGCTCGACCCCCGCGCCCGGAGCGCGCCAGGGGCGGCGCCGGAGGCGCCGCCAGGGGGCCAGGCCCCAGCGCCGATGCGAGTAATCCGCGCGGACCTCCGAGCTCTTATGTCCACGTCATTCTTCGTCCCCCCTACCCCTCTCTCCTATTCCTCCTCCTCCTCCTCCCTCCTCCTCCCGGTTTCTTCTCGTCCTCCTCCTTCTCGTCGTCGTCCTCCTCTTCTTCTTCTTCAACGCTACCGCCGAGCTACCTTCAACATAGACTGCAGAGACGACGAGCAGGGCGTGTGCATCAAGCCACACTGCGGAGGCCTCATTGGCGACCCGTACATGGTACGCAACTTCGTGGCCAGCTTCGCGCCCTGCATTCAGCGCTGGACTAAGGACTGCAACGAGGAAATCACGAACGACAAGCTACTATACGGCACGAGCGAACTATTCCAACACCCCGTCTACGTCGGTCTGACCAAGTATGCGGACGACATACGCAAACTCATCTTGAGCGGGAAGCAAGCAGACGCTCACTTCCTCGTCGACCAGGCTCACAAGATAGACGACACCCTGAACGTACGCCTCACCGAGATCGGCCTCAAGCAGAACCAAGACAAGCAGTTACTTCCAGGGCTCGGGTGCCAGCCAGGCACATCGACGACTCATGCAGGATCCGCAGTGCAACCTCCCTGGCAAGGTAGCGTCGGCAGCGAGGTACCTGGGCCCACAGATCACCGCGACACAGCAGTACTACCCCGAGCTGCAGAAACGCATCCAGGCTATGAAGAAGAGTTACTACGAGTGCGGCAAGTTCTGGACCAAGCGCGAGATACCATATGATATAGGTGGAAACGCGCCGTCCTCATATGCAGGGTCATCAACACGGGACTCTCTTGCATCGAGTGCTACCTGCCAACGCCCAATGAGTACCAGATGCTATTGAGCGCAATGGGAGCATTGCTAAGGAGAGCGATTGCGGGCAAGGCGAGCACACAGTACGAGGACGGCACCGTGCGCAGCATGACCACGCTGGAGGTTTTTCGCTACTGGCAGATCCTGCCACCAGCGGAGGAAGCCTTGGTCCGAAGGCTTGGCTGGACAAAAAACATCCTCATATTCCCGAGCAATCACCGCCAACTCATCGTCGCCCTGTTCGGACGCCTCGATTTCGAGAAGAACGCCGACGAGGACACGAACGAGCTGACGACGTATACGAACCCCTGGGCCCGTCGAGTCGAGGAGGACGTCACGAAAGCCTGCCAAATCTCGGAGAACTTCAGATCAATCTTCGGGGAGGAGGAGGTCAATATAGGTAAGATGTTCACACTCGAAGTCAGAGAGCAACTACACCTACTAGACGTTCGGGAGGTCAGAGCAGCTAAACTGACAGTAGCAATCCCTCCACCAGGACAGGCCCCAAACGACGAGCTCAGAGAAGATTTAGCCCTCCAGGACCTCCAGCCGTGGAAATGCTCTCTCGGGGGCAGTCTTGGGGATTTTGGACTCCTGTTCGCCAGCCAGAAGGCGTTGCACAGCCACATCATCCGAAGTCATCATGTACACAATTTAGCCGCTCTGCTGACTACTAACAACGAGTGCACCAATTGCCACCAGTGTTTCACTAGCCGAGGGACAGCGTGGAAACATCTAGCGAGAAGTCTGATTACAGGAAGCTGCAATTCAGATAGGACGCGAAACCAATGCCAGCCGACAAAACCGAGTACGACATGCCCTCTCTGCAGCCATCTCTTCTTAGACAAGGGCACGTTCTTGTCGCACCTATGCTCTCACTTGCCTAGACAGCTACTTCGACCACGAGTACGGGATGGCGCTCTTCGACCAGCGCCCATCATGGGCGCCAGCGGCACCGGCAGGAGGACCGACGCGTCCAGACCGCAGCCGCCAGCCGAGACGCCCCGCGGGAGGAGCACCAGCAGGAGGACCAGGAGGAGCAGCGGCGGCGCCCAACCTGCAGGTGGTCGACATCACGGCGCGCCTCGCCCTGACGCTGGCGCGCGAGCAAGCCGAGTTGGCGGCGGCCATCCTCCAGACGTGGGAGTTCAGCACTCAGAGCGGCATCGCGCAGGCAGGCCTGACAGCAGGCCAGTCCTACAACGAAGCGGCGCAGGAACTACGCCGCAGAGCAGGCGAAGGAGAGCAAGTGGACACGGCATCACTGGGCAGCCCCCACATTCGCGTGTGGACCAAGGTGGTGAACTACATGGGCCGCGCCCTGGAGTCGGGCGCGGAGCGCGACTACTTGGATCAGTACTACCAGGACGCCATCTTGAATGGCAACGCGGAGACCGTGGCCGACAGGATCCCGATCTTCAGGGTGCGTAAGAACAAAGGCAAAGAGGGCGGCGCGAACGAGAAGTGCAGGTTCCAGTTCCAGGTGAAGTCTACGAACCCGCAGCTGGAGGCTATCCTCGTGCGGGTACTACGCAAGGAAGGAGCAGTCCGCAAAATTGGATCGGCACCAAGGGGAGCGCTGGAGCGGGAGCTGCGGCGCCTGGTCAACGGATGAACGAGCCGACAGGTGAGCCAGAAGGCCATGAGCGAACCGTGCAGCTCTGTTCTGTGCTAGCCAGCGCCGTAGCCCAGGCAATCCCGAAGGCGTTCAGAGGCAGTGAACGTTTCAGCATGCTGGTAAGGGAAGGCCGTCTCCCCCCTCCTCCTGCGTCGTCTGAGACTCCTGACCTCTTCCGACTCCAAGGCCCGAACTTTCGGAGTATTTTGTTGTGCGCCGACCTCCCCCACCCCCCCCGAACCGAAGCGAAAGGGAAGGGGCAGAGGAGGCCAGGGCAGGGGAGTAGAGGAGCCAGCGAGAGGACATTCGTAAACGTGGGTGCTACCCTGCCCGCGGACCCCTGCGTGGGGTAGGTCGGTGCAGGTAGGGCCCGAGCGTTCAGGTGACGCCAGCGACCCCTTTTCAGCAAAGTGATCTCAGCTAGGCCACCAGATTTTGTAATGCCGCACTGGCCCCGAGAGAGTGTAGCACCGAACTGGCCCGAGAGTTCGATCGATCGATCGGTCGATCTTCCTCCTCCTCCTCCTCCTCCTCCGTCCTTTTTTCCTCCTCCTCCTCCTCCTCCTCCTCCCCCTCCCCTCCCCTGCCTTTCGCCATCCTCGCAGGCCCTGCTGCGCAGCTTCGACCTGGGCGGGGTCGTCAGCTCCCGCCGGCACAGGCCCTCGGGGGCGCCGCCGCCGCGCGCCGTGGGGGGTGGCCGCGGGCAGTCTGGGGCGGCCCCCGGCGGCCACCGGCGGCCTTCGGGCGGCCTTCGGGCGGCCTTCGGCAGTGGTGGTTTCAGGGGCGAAAGAGGCTAAGTCGGGCCTGTCCCTCTACAGGAGGAGTAGTCAAACATAGACAAAAACTAGTATGGGGACGATTTTCCGAGTATGTTTGGGCACGTTCGGGGTATATTTGGGTATTTTCAAGTTTTCGCCCCAAATCCGCCTGTATGGGGGACACGCCCGACCTAAGGATGAGGTCGGGCGAGCAGACGCGTGCACGTACACCGATCCTGGCCAGGCCCGTCACAGGGCCCAGGATCGGCGCATATGCCTCCCTTGCCGAGCCACGAACGCATACGCACCGGTCCTGGGCTCAGGATGGGCCTGGCCAGAATCGGTCAGTGTATGTGCATAGTTCTCTTTCCTCTAGATGGGTGGATGGTTCTCGAGGATAGTGAGTCCGGGGAAATTTCGGGGGTGGACAGAAGCTCCACCCTGACACGTCGATCAGTGGATTGTCCGTTTTCGGCTCTGGAGAGGTTTGCGCCCGCCAGGTCTGGGCCCGAGAACGTTTTCACTAAACCACGTTTTGCTAAAGGGGGTTCTGTCCATCCGCGAGGATAGTAGGCAGGCGAACAGTGACATAGACATAAAAACTCGGAGGGCCGCGCGGATTTCTCGCATCGACGCTGGACCCCTCCCTGGCGCGCGGAGCGCGCCAGGGGCGGCTCCGGAGGCGCCGCCAGGAAGGGGGTTCCAGCGCCGATCCGAGAAATCCGCGCGGACCTCTGAGCGTTTATGTTTATGTCATTGTTTGTCCCCCTAACGTGGGGGGGGGATAGGCTCAGGGGTAGTTTCGGGGCTGCTTTTCTTATGTTTTGCTCGTTTCTCTGCGGCTTTCCACCCCCAGGGTGCCTGCCAGCAGCCGCGCCTCGTCGATGGCGTCCCGGATGGTACATAAAATATTGAGGAACTTCGAAATGGGAATGCCGGTGTCCAGGCCTCCCAGATTGGGTCAGAGTTGATGCGGTCACCGATGCATCGGCGATACGATTCGATGCAGGGCCCTATTTTTGTCCATGCCGACGTCGCCGACGCATGATGCATCCTTCCGTCCCCATCTGGGAGGCCTCTACAAAGGAGAGCCGACCGTGGAAAACTACAGAAACCCTGTTATCCAGAGAATGCATCTGCACACCGCCACCGTGCCTGGCCAGGGCCACCCTGGCCCCTGGGATGGTGTACAGATCCTCCTGGCCTCGGCCAGGATTGTGTATAGATTGTACCCGTGCCGAGGATGGCCCTGGACAGACACGGTAGACATGCAATGCGACCAAACGATTCAAACGATTAAGTCATTCACGGGGATGGGGTCGTCGTGCCCCGCTGGGAAGCGGACGATTGAACATAGATTCGGCTGCCTCTGGCTATTCCACCACCGTGCCAGCGCACTGGGTGGCAACTGGCAACTATTCGGTAAGACAAATGGGGCTGCTTGGGGGGCTCTTGGGGCAGAAGGCTCGAATTCTTGGTTCGTGTTTCCACTCTTGGGCCCTTCTTGGGGCCGTCTTGGGGCCCTCTTGGGCAGACTTGGCCGCCTTTTGGGGCCGTCTGCGAGCCCTCCTGGACCGTCTTGGAGCTCTCTTGTGGGCCTCTTTGCCCTTCCGACTGGCCTCAGGGTGCGACAGGGATGAGTTCATCATATGGAAAAAGATGGGTGGAGGAGGAGGAGGGGTAGAAGGAGAAGGAGGAGGAGGAGGAGGAGGAGCCTCCTGGGGGGCCTCTTGGTGTCCGCTTGGGGCCTTTCGAGTGTCTTAGGGAGGCTCTTGGCCTGTTTGACGCCTTCGAGCCCGTCTTGGGGGCTTCTCGTGGAGTGTCTGGTGCCTCTTGGAGCGCTTTAGGGTCGTCCAGGGGCTCTTGGGAGCCTCTTTGGCGATCTTGGGGTCCTCTTGGGCCGACTCGGGGCCCTCTTGGGGTCCTCATGGGCAGTCCTGGAGCTATCTTGGAGGCCCAATTCGGCCGTCTTGGGCGGTCGCACACCCAAATAGGCGAGAACCTCCAGCTCCTTCAAACACCTGAGGGCCATGAATGGTTTAGGCCTCCTCGGGCTCTCTTGGAGGGCCTCTTGGAGCCCTCTTGGGTCGTCCTGGGGGCCTCTTGGGCCGTCTTGAGGCTGTCTTGAGCCGTCTTGTGTAATCTTGAGCCGTTTTGGTGCCGTCTTGGCTGTCTTGAAAGCCTGTTGGAGTCCATCTTGGCCGCCTGGAGGCTGAGAAGATCGTCGGGGAGCAGCTTCAGGGAAGGCTGCCTCAGAGGGACGCGTGCGATGCAGGGGGGGAGTCCTTCGAAGGCTCCACCAAACTTCGCCGACACCCGACAAGCCTCCTAACACGCCCACTCCATGCAGGCATGGCGGCGGAATTTCCTGCTGGGAGAGCCCACCCCCTGGGGGGCACCCAACACAATCGGGGGCGGACAGAACCCCCAACAGTGACACGTCGATTAGTGCATTTTCCGTTTTCGGTTCTCGAGAGGGCGCCGCGGTCGTTTTTTTCCAGGCTTGCGCCCGCCAGGTTTGGGACTCAGGTCGTTTTCACTAAACCACGTTTTACTAAAGGGAGGTCTGTCCATCCCCGATACAACTTTGCCTTGCTGGGGCTGGAGAGCTGCCCCTCTGCAGAGGGGACGGCGCGACGACGTGGAGATCACCGCGCGCCGCGCATCGCGGGGCGCGACGCGCGGCTCGAGGCGACCCTTGCGACTGCCCCGCGGCTGCGCATCGGCGACGCGTCGGCGCTTGGCACCGCTCGGGCGTGTGTATTTTTTCCTTCGGCGGGGACCATCGAGGAGCATCCTTGGTCATTGGGCGAAAAAACCACGCACGAAGCCGAACAAAAACACAGGGGATGGACGTCCGAGCGATGGCCAGTGCGGCGTCGAAGCCGAAGCAGCCATCGGGGCCGAGCCACTCCGCGGCCACTTCGGGGCAGCGGCGGCCTTCTCTCAGGAGGAGTGTCCTGGAGGCCTCGCGCGGCGCGCAATAGTTGTACCATCAAGTCCAGCCTGTCCCCCTACAGGGGGATTTTCGACGAAAAATAAGAAAATACCGCAAGAATTATCCCAAAATAGTCCAACAATAGTCTGGGGACTATTTTTTGAATATTTTTTTGATCTTTTTGGCACATGTTGGGGGTATTTTTTAATTCGTTCGTCGAAAATCCCCCTGTAGGGGTACAGGCCCGACCTAATTGTACCATCCAGTCCCCACGTCCGCCCCGTCAGATGTGGGACGACGCCCGAGCGGCGACGCGCCGACGAGAGTGCGACGCTCGGCCGAGGTACGTCCGACGCGATCCGGCGTGGACCCGGCGTGAATGCGACGTGGATCTGGCGTACATTGGGTCTCAAGTTGCCGCGCGAGGCCTCCAGGATTCGTTGGCTTACGCCACACCGCCGACCCCTTGGGGCGGCAGCGGTCGTCCCCCGCGTGGCCTGTCCAGACAGCCTGTGAGGCCCCTCTAGGCACGTTTGGGGGCCCTCTTAGGACCGTCCTGCCGTTCCCCTGGGCCGTTGCTATGGTTTCTAGGGCCTTCGTGGGGCGCCAGGAGGCCGTCGTGGAGCCGTTTAGAGAGTCTCTTGGGGTGCCAGAGGTCGATCTTGGAGGTTTACTGGGCCGCTGTGGGCATTGTGGAAGCCTAAGAAGCGAATATGCAAAATGTGCGTTTTCCACAGGGAATGGGACGGTTTTTGCTTCTGGAGGCCTGCTTGGAGCGCCTCGTGGTCGCGTATGCAAACGTCTTGGACGCCCATGGGGCTGTCTGGAGGTAATCTTGGGCGGTTTGGACCGAATCGTCCCCCGCGTGGGCCGTCCGGACAGCCTTTGGGAGCCCTCCTGGCTCATTTTAGAGCCCTCTTGGGACCGTCCTGCGGCTTTCCTGGGCCGTTGCTATGGTTTCTGGGGCCTTCGTGGATCGCCCGGAAGCCGTCTTGGAGCCTTCTTGGGAGTGACAGGGGTCGATCTTGGAGGTTCATTTGGCCGTTGTGGCCTCGTGAAAGCCCAAGAAGCGAATGTGCTGAAAATGCACGTTTTATTAAGGGAATGGGACGGTTTTTGCTTTTGGAGGCCTTCTTGGAGCGCCTCGTGGTCGCGTATGCAAACGTCTTGGACACCCATGGGGCCGTCTGGCGGCGATCTTGGGCGGTTTTGACCGAATCGTGCCCCGCGGGGGCCGTCCGGACAGCCTTTGGGGGCCCTCTTCCCCTGTTTTGGAGCCCTCTTGGTCCGTCCCGCGGCTTTCCTAAGCCGTTGCTGTGGTTTCTGGGGCCTTCGTGGATCGCCCGGACGCCGTCTTGGAGCCTTTTTGGGAGCCTCTTGAGCTGGCGAGGGTCGATCTTGGAGGCTTCTTGGGCCGTTTTGCACCACGTGGAAGCCGACTGGGCGAATGTGGTGAAAATGCAAGTTTTCCTTTGGAAGTGGAGCGATTTTTGCTTCTGGAGGGCCTCGTTGGGGCGCCTCGTAATACTGTTTCAAACGTCTTGGGGACTTATGGAGCCGCGTGGAGGCAATCTTCGGCGTTTTGGGGCGATCGTTCGTCGGTTCGTAGCTCTCTTGGACCGTTTCGGGAACCTTTGGAATCTTTTTGGCCCGTTTTGGGGCCTCCTGAGGCTCCAAGTGTGCGGATGATGGATTTGCCCCCCTCCCCCCCCCTCCAAACCTGCAGGACCAGGCCCTCGGGGGAGGGGTTTGGGGAGGGGGAAGCATCTCACACGCCGTGACCCCAGGGGGTCGGCGAATTTTCCCCAGAACGGAGCAGCCATGGGGACTGCCGAGCCACTTCGCGGCCACCTCTGGGCCGTCGGGGGGCCTTCTCGGGGCCTCCTGGGGGAATCTTGGGGCCTCCCGGCCACTCTTGGTTAGGATGCAACTTAGTGTGAGGTTTCATTCAGCATCGGTGCGGGTACGTCAGTGGCCGAAGGCCAGCTCAATCCGTCATCGTCCTGTTGCATTCCATCTTTGTTTCGCCGAATCCAGCTTAACGGGGCCTACTCCTGGGCTTCACCTCTGGACCACCCAGCTGACTGGCCCCTCAATCGGGCTCAGTAGCCTTCAGTCGTCCTGACACGCACCTCCCAGGCGTGGCCTCCTGTTAACTCCTGGGGACATATTGGGGCTCCGAGCCACCTCTGGGACACTTTGGGCACGTCTTGGGGGCCTCGAGCTGGTCTGCACCCCACGTCCGCTGCAGGCTCCCGGCGCTGCTGAGCGTCGACTGGAGTGGCCTCTTCGCGCGCGCAGCGCTCACCGAGTCCAGGGACCTGCACCAGTCGGTCGCGCACTTCTCGGGGGCCGCACGGGGGTGACCCTGGCCCAGCGGTGGCCCCAGCTCTGCCACGGCAGCAGCCCCCGGCCTCCAGAGCAAAGCGCCCGCGAGGCCCCGAGCCGAAGAGACATAACTCCCTCCCTCCCTCCCTCCATCCCTCACTTCTTGGCATTGCTCGGACGTGTGCATTTTTCCTTCGGCGAGGACCATCGAGGAGCATCCTTGATCATTTGGCGAAAAACCACGCACGAAACCGAAACAAAAACAGGGAACGGACGTCCGAGCGATGGCCAGACTTTTTCCCTCCCTCCCTCCATCCCTTCCTCTCTCCATCAGCATATTTGTTTGGAGCTCCGCGCGGATGTCTTGGATCGGTGCTGTCCGCTGGACCCCCTTGGCGGCGTCTCCAGTACCGTCCCTTGGCGCGCACCGCGCGCGAGGGAGACTGGTCCAGCGCCGATGCAAGAAGGCAGCGCGGAGCCCTGAATATCTGCGCGTTGCGCCGTTTCTTCCTATTCTGCATGCGGCTTCCATCGGGCTCTGGAGTGGCCGCGAGAATGGGAAGCCTGGGGCGCAGACGTCCACTGTCCTTTCCTGATTCTTCCGATGCGGCGCCCCCGGAGCGCTGGACCATCTCCCAGGGACCGGTTTGTCGCCCCAGTTGTCGCACCATCTCCCAGGGTCCGGCGAGGGCCCCCAGACGCCGAAAACTACGACGTACCTTCGCCTTGCTTGTTTCTAGTGCACTGGAGGCCCGTGGGCACCAGGGGCCGGGGCCGCCCCTGACAGCGCCCAGAGCCTCGCGGGGTGCGAGACCGTGTCCGCTCCCGCGCTGGTGGCTGCGTACGAGCCCGCGCTGCTGGACGTGGTGGACGCGCTGCTGCAGTCGGGCGAGCCGGCGTCCGCATCCACCCCGCCGCTGGCCGGAGCGCGGTGCCCTGGGATCCTGGCGGTAAGTCGGGCCTGTCCCCCTACAGGGGGATTTTCGACGAAAGATTCAAAATACACCAAAAATGCCCCAAAAAGGTCAAAACGTATTCCCAAAAATCGTCCCCAGACTATTTTTGGACTATTTTTGGTGTATTTTTTATTTTTCGTCGACAGTCCCCCCCTGTAGGGGGACAGGTCCGACTTACTCCTGGCGTCGCCATTTTCCGCAACGGGCGAGCTGGCCCTGCTGCGGGCCCGGGCGCCTCCCGGGTCCGTCCGGCTCGAGGCATGCCGCTGGGAGATGGGGTTTGGGGGCCCCGCTCGTGTTTTTGTGCTTCGAGGATGAGGAGGAGGAGGAGGAAGAGGAGGAAGACCAGGAGGAGGGCGAGGAGGAGCATGAGGAGGAGGACCAGGAGGAGAAGGAGGACCAGGAGGAGGAGCAGGAGGAGGAGGAGGAGGAGGAGGAGGAGGAGGAGGAGGAGGAGGAGGAGGAGCAGGATGAGGGGGAGGAGGAGGAGGAGGACCAGGAGGAGGGAGCGGAGGTCGTTGCGATGAGGGGGATGAGGAGGGTGTTGCTACGTCGCATTTTGTTCGCAGCGTCGGATCTCAACCCTGAGTTACGACGCTGCGAACACACTGCAACACCGCGACGCAGCTCACGAGTGGAGCCCCCAGTCTTTCTGCGCCAGTCCTCGAGCCGCGTCGTCTCGTGATGGCCCTGGGGCCCGAAGCGGAGCGAAGGCGCCCGTTGTGAGAAACGACTCCCGCGAGCGGATCTCGGGGAAGGTGCGACCTGCTCCACCACTGCGCCCTGCACGGCTGGGAGCGCGTGGCCGCCCGGCTGGCCCAGGCTCTGCACGCTCGAAGCGGGCACAGTGGGCCTCGGTTCGTAGGTCGACGCTTCCAAATCAAGGGTGCCCTTGCCTTGGCATCGCTCGGACGTGTGCGTTTTTCCTTCGGCGAGGACCATCGAGGAGCATCCTTGATCATTTGGCGAAAAAGCCACGCACGAAACCGAAAAAACGAGGGGAATGGACGTCCGAGCGATGGCCAGTTGCGTCCTGTGTCTCGCGAACCATGCCTTCTACATTCCCATGGCAATGCGGCCCTCGGAAGGGTCTTGTGTTCTCTCGCGTGTCCTGTCCAGTCAGGTCCGACTGTACGAGGAGCAACGCCAGTTCCTGTCCGTTTTGACCTAGGTCCGCTGTCGTCATCGCCACGGGCGAGAGCCGCCTGCCCAGCAGCGACCGCCGTTGAATCTGGACAACCTTGGCTGTCGGAGATCTTGTGCAGTTTTTCCGTCTCGATCTTTCGTCGGCGGGCCCAGGGGGGAAGCGAGAGGTGGCGGGCCTTCTCAGCAGGCTCGGGAGGCTTCGGCCTTTCCGAGAAGTTCTCTGAGCCTTCTCCGAAGACGCTGAACGCTTCTCGGAACGCTGAACGCGAGGGCCTCTGATAAGCCCGCCGCCCCTGAGAAAGGCCTCTTCGTTCTCACTTCCCCCCTCGGCCCGCCGCCGAGTTTGGTGCTCGGGCCACAGCTCGGGCCCCCTGCCGGCCGTGCGGGACGATCTATAGGCACCCCCGGAGAGCTCTCGGCGGGGCCTCAGCAGCCGGAGCGCCTGCCAGGGCAGGAAAATACCGCCGAGAACCGACGGGAGCTCCCGAATACTCAGGAGGAGAAAAGACACAAAGAAACAATGAATCGTGGATTCCCCAGAACATATGGGAAAATATGGGAAGTGGGGGGGAAGACGACCATCCCAGAAATAGCGTAAAATGTGGGGAATCCTGTTATTTGTGTGTATTTATTTGTGTGTCCTTGGGCCCCTTGGAATACCTCGAGCCTCGAAGCGCTCCTCGCTCGCCGCCGCGTGCCGGGCGTCCAAGCAGGCGGGGTGCTCCAGCGCGGCGGGCGATCGCGCGCCGAGCGCGCGGCCCGAGCCGCCCAGCGTCACCAGGAAGGCCGCGGCTGCCCGCCTGGACCCGTCCGCGCGCGCGTGCCCGCGGGCTGTCGGGGAAGAACCCATACGTCCTGTCTGCTACGAGTGTTCTTATGATCGCAAGTATGACTACTACTGCTACTACTGCTGCTGCTGCTACTTCTGCTGCTGCTACTACTATCGCTGCTGCTGCTGCCACTAATGACCTACCAAGTAGACTATTACGACTACTTGTACTACTACTACTACTACTACTACTACTACTACTTTTATTACTACTACTACTACTACTACCACTACTTACTAGTACTACGTTTACTATTATTACTACTACTACTAGTACCCGTACTACGACTACTATTACTACTACTACAGCAACAACAACTATCACTTTTATTATTACTACTACTACTACGACTGATACAAATACTACGATTAATGCTTTACTACTGCTACTCCAACTACTACCACTATTATATCAAATACTGCAACTACTACTGCTACTACTCCTACCACTACTACGACGCCTATTACTTCTACTACTAGTACTGCTGCTGCTGCTACTACTCCGACTACCATGCCTACTACAACTACTACTGCTGCTGTTGCGACTACGACTGTTAAGAATGATACTACCACCCACTACTACGACGGCTACTTCTACTTCTACTACTACTCCTACTCCTACTTTCACTAATAGTACTACGACTGGTACAACTGCTACTGCCGCTTCTACTATTAGTACCACCGCTACTACTACGACTAATCATGATACTAGCAGCAGCAACTACTACGGCAACAGCAACAGGAACTACAACTACTACTACTACTACTACTGCTACTACTACTACTACTACTACTACTACTACTATTACTACTATGTGTAATACTAACGCTACTACTACTACTACTACTACTACTACTACTACTACTACTACCACTCGTACCATTACTACTACTACGACTGCTACTGCTACAACAACTACTACTACATCTACTACTACAACGACTACTGCTGCCACGACCACTACTACTATTACTACTACTATAGCTACTACGACCACTTTTGGTACGACTACTCCTACAACTGCTGCAGCTGCTGCTGCTTCTACTCCTACTACTGCTGTGACCAATCCTACCATGAGTGCTGCTCCTGCTGCTATAACTACTGCCACCCTTCATACCACCACTATTACGACTACGACAAATATTTCTACCACTGCTAGTCCGACTACTACTACTACTACTACTACTATTATTACTACTACTGTTACTACTACTACTACTACTACTGCTGTTGCTACTAAGTCTGCGTACTAGTAGTTCTACCACCACGACTACGACTACGACGATTACTAGTACTACTACTACTAGGACTACCACTACTAGCCGTATTACTACAACTACTGCTTTTCATTGCTGCTCCTACTACTACCGCTACATATTCTACTACTGGGGTTGCTACTACTATTTCTACTACTACTACTTCTACCACTACTGTCATTAGTTGTACTAGCGCCGGTATTGCTAGTGCACTTGCGGCTACTACTACTACTACTACTACTACTACTACTACTACTACTACTACTACCACTGTTGCTATTACGACTGCGACTTCTACTACTTTCTGCTGCTGCTGCTACTACCACTGTCTACTACTACGGCTAATACTACTTCTACGACTACTGCTGCGGCTGCTACGATTTCCACGTGTGATACTACCATTACGTTGGTTACTGCCAACTCGAGTATTACTATTCCTACTATCGCTACTTACCACTACTACTACTAGTACTACCACTACTACTACTACTACTACTACTACTACTACTACTACTACTACTACTACGACTACGACTACGACTACGACTACGACTACTATTACTACTACTAGTAGTAGTAGTAGTACTACTACTACTACTACTACCGCTGCGGCAACTACTTCCGCCACACATATTACTTCTACGACTACTACTACTACTACTACTGCTCCTGCTACTACTACTACTACTACTAGTACTACTACTACTACTACTACTACTACTACTACTACTACTACTAGCATGACTATCACTACTATGACCATTTGTAGTAGTAGTAGTAGTAGTAGTAGTAGTAGCAGCAGCAGCAGCAGTAGTAGTAGTAGTACTAGTTGTAGTAGGAGCAGTAGTCGTAGTAGTAGTAGTAGTAGTAGTAGTAGTCGTAGTAGTCGTAGTAGTCGTAGTAGTCGTAGTCGTAGTAGACGTAGTAGTAATAGTAGCAGTAGTAGTCGTAGTAGGAGTAGTAGTAGTAGTAGTCGTAGTAGTAGTAGTAGTAGTAGTAGTAGTAGTCCTGCTGCTACTGGTACTAGTATCGCTATTTCTACCCGTAGTGCTACTAGTATTTCCCGTACCACTACTCCCATTAGTTTTTTTATTACTACTGCGAGTCTGACTACTTCATCCGCTACTGTCACTATTGCTGGTGCTGCTGCAACTACTACTACGGCTAGTACTGCCATTACTACGACTACAGCACTACAAATTACGCTGTCGCTGCTGTTTTCTACGAATGATAGTGCCGTCGCAGCGGCTATTTCGGTTAGTCGTAGTAGTAGTAGTAGTAGTAGTAGTACAACAACAACTACTACTACTACTACTTTTACTGCTACTACTACTACTACTACGACTACGACTACGACTACGGCTACTACTCCTACTGTTACCATCACTGGACATTTTTTCGTATTATTACTAGAGCTATTACGCTTACTACCACTGCTACGACGACAACAACAACAACAACTACTATTACGACTGCTACTACTATTAAAGCTGCCACTGCTGATACTCCGATTCCGTTTGCTATTTCTACTAGTGGTTCTTTCACGTGTACTACTTCTATTGTGGTTGGTGCTACTACCACCACTATTCAAGTTTATACATGTATAACTTATATGAAAGAATGGTAATCGTATTTGTACTACTACTTCTACGACTACTACTACTACTACTACTGTTGCTGCTGCTGCCGCCGCTACACCCTTTATCCAATTACTATTGCCACTACTACGGCTATTCTTGCCATTACTACTTTTACAACTCCTGTCGCCACTATTGCTAGTACGACTACGGCTGCTACTATTACTTCGACTGGTACGACCCCTCGTGCTACCACCATTTCTGTCATTGCTACACCTGCTACTGCTCCAACCACCAGTATTCGTATTCGTGTCACTTCTACTTCTACTGCTGCTGCTGCTGCTACTGGCTGCGGTTGCTGCCATTGTTTTGTTTTGTTGCTGTTTCTGCTACGACGGCTACTACTACCATTACTACTACTGCTACTACCACTACCACTACTACTACTACTACTACTACTACTGCTACTACTACTACTACTACTACTACTACTACTGCTACTACTAATACTACTACTACTGCGACTGCGATTACTATTATTATAATTGCCACCAGTACTACGAATAATATTCGTACCATTACAACTTCGATTACTGGGGCTACCATTATTACTTATATCCCGGTTATTGCTGCTACTACTAGTGCTACTGCTACTGCTACTACTACCACTACTACTACTACTACTACTACTACTACTACTGCAAGTATTGTTACTACTACCGCTACTACTATTGCCACCACCGCTGCTACTACTGCTACCGCTACTACTACTACGACTACGACTACTACTTCTACTTTTACTTGTACTACTATTTCTACTGGTACTACTACTAGTACTTCTGCTATTATTTCTACAGCTACTACCACTACTACTACTACTACTACTACTACTACTACTACTACTACTACTACTACGACTACTACTACTACTACTACTGCTGCTACTGCAGTTACTACTGCTGCTACTGCCCCTACGACTACTGATGCCATTACCACGGCTGCTACAACTAGCAGTGCTACTTCTACTATTGCTGCTGCTGCCCGCCGCGGCCTTTTTTCTTCAGAATATTTCTTTATGCCATTGTATTCTTCTCAGTGCTACTATAGTTTTTCTTGTTTTTTCGCATTATTTTTGTTATGACGACCAATGCTACTGCTACGGCTATTACTACTACTGCTACTACCAACCCTACTGTTGCTTCCTTTTTCACCGCCGCCACTGCTACGATTACCACTTCTACGACGACTCTATTATTACTCCTGGTTCGATTACGAGTCGTACCACCACTACCATTACCAATTCTTGTTGGCCTGCTACTGGTGCTTTACTACTACCACTACCGCGGTTACCATTGCTACGGCCACTGCGGCTGCCAATGTCACGAGTATTATGCTTTTATTGTTGCGATCCCGCCTGTTACTGCCATTTCTCCTTCGACTTTTACTTGTGCGACGACGTTCATTAGGACTACTACTGTTACTACCACCACTATGGCTACTACTACGCTTGATTTACCTACTACTAGTGCGACTACAAGTGCTACCGCGACTACTTCTATTACTACGACTACTACTACTACTATTACTACTACTACTACTACTACTACTACTACTACTACTACTACTCTCGCTACTATTAATTCATACGACACTTTGCCCTTTCTACTACTACTACTACCACTACTACTACTACTACTACGACTACTACTACTACCACTACGACTACTACTAATACTACTGCTGTTGCTGTTGCTACTACTGCTGCGACTACATCTGCGACTCATGTCATTCGGACCAGACATTCTATTATCATTTTTACCATTCCGACGGCCTCCGTTGCTTCTACCTACGATTCCTTTCACTGCCAATCCTACTACTATTATTATTATTATTAGTAGTAGTAGTATTACTACTACTACGACTACGACTACTATTTCTACTACGACTACGAAGGTCACCGCTGCTACTAGTATTACGTCTGCTACTACTAGGACTACAACGACTACGGCAACGGTTATTACTACTAATATTATTATCACTTCTACTTGCGACGGCGACGTCGTAGAATACTACTATTACTGCTTCGGCTGCTACCATTACGAGAGCGGTTATTTTTTCTTCTACCACTTCGAAATACGAGTACTCTCTTTACCGCTACTACTGCTACCCTTGGTACCGCTACTTCGA